TTTTTCGTATAAAATGATTTTCTAATATTGAACACCATCCATCAGCGAGCCTGTCATAATTATGACCTACTGTACATCAAAGCCACATCTACTTACCCGTTATTTTAAATATTTGAAATTTATACGTTTAGTTGTATTTAATAAAGAACCTAGCTAATATTTTTCTGGCCGATACAAAATCAATAAAACATTGTCGCGATAGATATTTTGATTAGCATGATATATTTTTGTCTCTCGAAGATTATTATACCAGTCATAATTTAAACTTTCTTAGTTGTCATTATATTCCTTAATATTCATATTTTAAACTTTTTGAGTACTTATTATATATTCATATATTTTTACATTTAAAATGACGTCTGAACATCAAACCTCAATCCAGTTGTCGAGAAGCGAAACAATGCAGACGGTTTTCGAAGATCTCCGTGCCAGCAAAATTCGCATTCCGACTAGAATGACAATTGGAACCAGACCGGCGATGAGAAGACATAAGTCGGTGCCAAACGTATCATCAGTGGGCCACCGACCGTCTGCAGGCGGTGACACCATCGTCCGTAAGCCTTTGGTAGTCACTCGCTCCAGTCCCCGTTACGTGTCCGACGCCGAAGTGTTCGGCCTCAACGAGAGGCCACCCAGCCCACCTGAACGCAAAATTTTCGTAGCAAATTACGCGGGGCCGAGCTTTCGGTACTATATGTCGCTGGTCGACGAGGCAATAAATTCCAACGGAGAGGCTAAACCGAAGGCCATCGAAAATACTTGTGAGTGCGTGCCGGAGTCGGAACTTGACACAAATTCGCCAGACGTTAGGGAGGAGAACGAACTCGAAGGCAGTTCGAAACTGTGGCGGTGTTCTTCGGCCCCAAATATTCACATAAGCTTTGGACTGGTCGGCAACCCGGAATCGGATACCTGCAGTTGTAGTGACGTAATAAATGAGGAGGTAGCCCTGGACAGCGTTCAAACCAAACGGCGTCGCACAATGTGGAGCCGGACGAAGCGATTCTTCCGGCGCATATTTTGCTTCGCCGTTTAGGGTCCCTTATTTATAGCTGCAATATGTTTTTTATCCACCACCAGTCAACCAGTTCCGCAAACTTAACGTGTCAACAAGACAATCGAACAAGTAAATCATGATTAGTAAACATGATAACATTTTAAGGTGATGTCGTACAATACTGAGCGTTTTTTTACGCGGCAGCGCCCCAGGGGGGATTCAATATTTTTTTTTAAAGATCATTTCTGGGAAAATGTAAAAGTCATGTTCAAAATTGAAACAGGTTTCCAAAAAAATAAATGGTTTTAATTTTTTTTTATTCTATACAGAGAGCCTACATTAAAGGGTGCAGAAGCACAAAATGTTTTATAAATTAATAATTTATTTGTTTTAAATCCAATTATTCACATTTTAATTGTAGTTCCCGGAGGATATTTATCAAAAACTGAGTTATTGTCTATATACTTAAATTTATTTACAAATTCAATTTTTGTTTCTTTATTTTAATGTTTTCATATTAATATACTTATTAATAAACATAAATATTAGATGGAGAATGTCAATTATTAATGAGCAATATGAAAATAATTTAAATGTCTGACTTAATTTATATGTTTGTTCGTAAATTCCACTGACTAAACCACTAATAGGTACAGGAAAATTAAAAGAAAACAAATAATTAACAATAATGATTGTACCTATTCACATATTTTAACATAAAGATATTGACAATTACAATGAAATTCACAATTCTATTTTCTAAAATTGGGAAAATTGCACTAACAAGTTAGTTGACCAACAAGTCATTTTTTATCAAAAAGACAATAATAGATTGCAAATTTTATAAATTATTCCTTTACAAAATTCTAACCAGTTAATTACTGATATTTTTTATTTTTGTACTAAAATATTGACATAAAACCATAAGTATTCTGTAATTCAGTGTATTGTACTACAGGTATATCAAGTAAACAAAAAAATATGATTCTTATACTAATTGCAATATATAAATAGATTATATATATAAATGTCTACAATTACGAGGCTTAAAAAAAAATATATAAATACATATTTATTTTATTACCGTAGTTTATTGATGTACTAGGTAGGTAGTTATATCATTTTTGCGAAAATAATTTGTCTAAATGGGTACTTTTAATTTTTTAATAACTATATAATATAATATATTTATATTGCAATTAGTACAATACTCTTAGTTTTTTGTATTACTATCCGTATATATATAATATATATGTATAAATCCGTGTATTTAACTATTTTTAGTCGAAAACTAATCACATAATAATGTAGGTACTATTATAATATTGTTTATTTGTTCCATATAATATTACTTGCTGTTTTTAATCCTTAAGTCAATTCTGATATAACCTTCTATTGGAATGGTGTTAACGGAACATTTTAAATTATCTATAGATATAGCTATAGAATATTTCATATATTATATTTACTCACTTGTTTTTAAATACAATATAATGTAATACTAGATTTTTTTTTAAATGTGTGTTTTAATTTTTTTTGCTTTTTTACAATAATTGAAAAAAAAATTTATGTCAATAAATTATTATAACATTATATACAGTTGTTATTATTCAGAAAAGTGTATGGAATTTTTATCCTTTAACTCTTTAAAGTACTATCTAGATAGCGTATGATATAGTACGAAGAAAATTTTTAAAATGTACAAATATACAAGAAAGATAATCTTTTGTTTTTATTCTTAGGAAATATCACACTCGGTGATTTGAATTTTTAACAACTTAATATAACCTACATAGCTACATGTTAGTCATTTTCATTTCAAACCAACAGATTTTCATAATACTAGCTGTCTCGTCACGGCGTTTCCCGTGTATTATATAGCTAGGTATTTAAAAAAAACTCCCTTTTACCCTATTAAAATGGCGAATTTTTAAAAATCATTTCTTATCGCTCTCCTGCATTGTTTAAGGAACCTGTGTACAAAATTTTAAGTTTTTAGGACCAGTTGATGGTTGGTGTAGTCGGTGACGAGTGAATAGTTGTGGTCTCTTATATGTAGATAGATTAACAGGCACAGCGAAGACTTAAAACAGTGCTTTGCATCCGAATCATTTGTGCAAACACCAAGTGTTGAGGTTGAATATTTTTGTAAGGGGTTCAATTTGGAGCAATATAGTATTTATCAGCGTGCGCCTATTTTGAGTTTAAAAACTTTGTTAAGTAAAAAAATAGGCGTCACGCTGATAAATACTATTGCTCCAAATTGAACCACTTACAAAAATATTCAGCTTCAATACTTGGTGTCTACACAAATGATTCGGATGCAAAGCTTTGTTTTAAGTCTTGGCCGTGCCTGTTAATTTATATACATATAAGAGACCACAATACTATTCACTCGTCACCGACCACACCAACCATCAACTGGTCCTAAAAAATTAAAATTTTGTACACAGGTTCCTTAAGCAATGCAGGAAAGCACTAAGAAATGATTTTTAAAAATTCGCCCTTTTAATAGGGTAAAAGGGAGTTTTTTTTTATATACCAAGCTATATAATAAACGGGCAACGCCGTGACAGGACAGCTATAGTATTATTAAAATCTGTTGGTTTGAAATGAAAATGACTAACATGTCGGTTGTATTAAGTTGTTAAAAATTCAAATCACCTAATTTGATATTTCCTAAGAATAAAAACATAAGATTATCTTTCTTTTATACTTGTAAATTAAAAAAATTTTCTTCATACTATATCATACGGTATCTAGATAGTAATTTAAGGAGTTGAAGAATAACAATTCCATATACTTTCCTGAATAATAACAACTATATAAAATGTTATAATTATTTATTGATATACATTTTCTTTCAATTATTGTAAAAAAGCAAAAAAAAATTAAAACACACATATTTAAATAAATCTAGTATTACATTACATTATATTTAAAAACAAGTGTGTAAAGATAATATATGAAATATTCTATAGCTATATTTATAGATAATTTAAAATGTTCTGTTAACACCATTTTAATAAGGTTATACCAGAATTGACTTAAGGATTAAAAACAGCAAGTAATATTATATGAAATAAATAAACAATATTATAATAGT